TTCAAAAGTGAAAGTAGTTTAGACGTGGCTTTTTCGGAGAACCCCCTCCATTTGTCTAAAAGCTGTGTAAACCTCAAATTTCAAAAGTGAGATCAGAAGAAGATATGCAAATTCCATGTCCCATGGAGTTATTTGCTCCATTTTGATCAAGCTTGGTAGAATCCAGCCCTCAAGACTTTTAGGCTACATCTACACTGTGGAGCTATTTCAGGATACCTTTGGTATCCCAAAATAGCTATTCCACATCTTAAGAGCAAGCCCATTTTATTGAAATATAATCGGGGTGGCCCGTGAACCTAGGCAAACTAGGCAGTTGCCTAGGGTGCTTCTGGCCTGGGAGCCCGATGATGACGTCACAGTGTGCAACACAAATTGTTTTCAACATCCAGTCAATTTCTTTGTTTCATTTTTAATGTGACTAAACTTAAAAAGCTTTTTTCACAGAGGTACATCGATGAAAACGGAAGAATAACACATAGCGCTTCTTCTCCACCTTTAGAGCAAATTGGGATATATTTTATCCAAAATTCCTCCAAGCTTGAGTTTTCTAAATTATCTTTCATAATTTTTTATTTAAAATTAAAAATAAGCACAAATAGTTTTTCTTGTCACAAAAATTTAATAAAAATGTAATTTAACACAAGAAATAGCTTGTTCTTGCAATACTTCTGGCAATGAATCAACATAAAAGTTGAATGGATTGCGTACTAATTTATGAATGGGATTGCCAGAAAAGTTGTCTGGAAAATAGTGGATTAATCTGTCAGCAAGGCAGTTCCAATGAAACACAATTTTGTTCTGTGCTTCCTCTTTACAAAGTTCTTGGAAACCTTTATTTTCAGTGAGCTATGACAATGTTGGAAAAGACGAAAAGTTAGGTGTCTGAGCTTATGTTTGATGTTTCCAAAGCTGGATTTTTTCCCATAAATGCTTTGATGGCATTATGGTGCACAATAATGTTTGCAGTGTTGTTTCTTTGCAGCTTCAAATTGAGGTTGTTCAAAGATTCAAAAACATCGATGAGGTATGCCAGTGAAAGTTGAAACGTTTGATTCGTAAACACATGATATAACTCTTCTTTCTTCTGTTGCTTGAGGAAAATTTCCACTTAATCTTTCAGTTTGAATAATCTGAAAAGCATGTTACCTTTGGAAAGCCATTGTACCTCCGTGTGAAACAAAAGAGTTTTATGATCCACTCCCAAATCTGCACAAAGAGCTACCACACATGCAGTTGCAGCTGATGTAGTCATCCCTCCAGTTGCAGTGTAAACACACCCTTTGTCTGGTGCATGTCCAGCAACGATTTTAAATGTCATAAGAACATGAGAACATAAGAACGGCCAGACTGGGTCAGACCAAACGTCTAGACTAGTATCCTGTGTTCTGATAGAGGCAAATGCCAATGTCCCAGAGGGAGTGAACAGAAAAGGTAATCATAAGTGATCCCTCTCCTGTCATCCATTTCCTGCCCCTGACATAACGAGTCTAGGGACACCATTTTTATCCATTCTGGCTTATAAATATTGATGGACCCAACCTCCATGAATTTATCTAGTTCTTTTTTGAACCCTGTTAAAATCCTGGTCTTCACCATATCCTCTGACAAGGAGTTCCACAGGTTGATGTGCATTGTGTGATGAAATTCTTCCCTTTGTTTGTTTTAAACTGGCTACCTATTAATTTCATTTAATTTCATTCATTAATTTCATTTGCTTTTTATGTTATGGGAACAAGTAAATAACTTTAACTTGTTCGCTTTCTCCATACCTATCACAGTTTTATAGACCTCTAACATATCCCCCCTTAGTCTCCTCTTTTCTAAGATGAAAAGTCTCAGGGTGAGCCTACATTGCACCGTTATTTTCAGATAACTAGCGTTATTCTGAAATAGCCATGCGAGCGTCTACACAGCCATTCTGTTATTTTGAAATAATTTCAAAATAATGGATGGCTTATTCTGAAATCTGTAAATCTCAATCTACTAGGAATACTCCTATTCTGAAATAGCTATTTCGAAATAAGGCGTGTGTAGACACTCCACTGATGTTACTTCGAAATAGCCCTTCATCAGGGCCATTCTAAGTTATTCCTCCCCGGTGCCTCCTGGGGATGTAAATCGAGATATCACGTCTAGATTAGGGAAGCCTGCCTAGGACTAATTTTGAGGCTTCCTATCAGTACAGACATGCTATTTTGAAATAAGCTATTTCAAAATAACTATTCCGGAATATCTTATTTTGAAATAAGCCTGCAGTGTAGATGTATCCTCTGTCTTTTTAATCTCTCTTCATATGGCATCTGTTCCAAATCCCCGATCTTTTTTGTTGCCCTTTTCTGAACCTTTTCTAGTACTAATATATTGTTTTTGAAATGAGGTGACCATATCTGTATGTAGTATTCAAGATGTGAGCATACCACGGATTTATATAGAGGCAATAAGATATTCTGTGTCGTATTCTCTATCCCTTTTTTAAGTAGGAGGGTAATGTAGGCATACCACACTTGCAAATGAAGCCTGGGATTTGAATTTCCCGGGCTTCATTTGCATAAGCCGGGCGCCACCATTTTTAAATCCCGGCTGGTTCGAACCCTGTGCCGCGCGGCTACACGCGGCACGAACTAGGTAGTTCGGACTAGGCTTCCTACCATTACTCCTCATTACTCCTCATGAAGCCTAGTCCGAACTACCTAGTTCATGCTGCGTGTAGCCACGCGGCACGGGGTTCGAACCAGCCGGGATTTAAAAATGGCCGCACCCGGCTTATGCAAATGAAGCCCGGGAAATTCAAATCCCGGGCTTCATTTGCAAGTGCAATATGCCTACATTACCCCGGTAGTTCGAACTAGCGGGGTAGTGTAGACATACCCATTGCTCCATCAACGGAGCTATGTAGATTAGTTTATTCAAAAAAGGGAAATGAAGTGATGATTTAAATAATCTCTGCTTCATTTAAACCAAAATGGCCACCGTGCTGTGCCAATCAGCTGTTTGTCAGCATAGTGCGGCAGTCTAGACGGGGATCTGCCAACCCCAGAACCCTTCGTGGTGTGAAACCAGGCTTACAGGATCTGCTGATGAAAGGTTCTGGGGTCGGCAGATCCCCATCTAGACTGCCGCGCTGTGCCGAGAAACAGCTGATCGGCACAGCGTGGGGGCCATTTTGATTTAAATTATTTAAATCACCGCTTCATTTTGCTATGTCTACAACTCTAATCTACATGGCTCCATTGACAGAGCCATGTAGTCTAGACACACCCTAAGGTGCCACAGGACTTCTCGTTGTTTATGCAGATTCAGACAAACAAAGCTACCCCTCTGAAACTTGTTCATGAATAGTTAGACATATCATCTGCTCCCTTCTCTTTATAAGTCCTACAGCCTCTGACATCTTATTGGGGAAAAGGATTCACGTGGCATGTTTTCTGCCAGGACACATGCTCTGATCTCGCAAACTCCTTAGCACCTTTGACAGAGTCATCACGGATTGCTTTAGCAGAATGCATCTTACCATCCTTAGTATGTTGCCAGCAATTGGCTTCACCCCTCTCCTTAGGACATTGTGCTTCTCAACAATCTCTTTTTGTTGATCTTCATTGTCAATTGACAGAGCAGCAAAATTGGGTGTCTAAATGAAAAAAAAAAAGTACACTAGTTTTTTTTCCCCATGGACTTTAGGCTCATGTGTGTGAACCTAAAGTATTTTATATGTGACCCTAGGAATGCATTCCAGTTAATGAGCCTTTTTCAAGTAACATTAGCTCATGAAATATTTTAAAATTAATTTAATCAGAATGAATCAATCACTAATTACTAAATTATGGGTGAGATTCTAATGTCTTTATTCTATGTTATAGCGGCGAGGAGTCCTGTGGCACCTCATACTCTAACTGAAGTGTTGGAGCATAAGCTTTCATGGGCAAAGACCCACTTCTTCAGATGCATGTAGTGGAAATTTCCAGAGGCAGGTATAAATAGGCATAATTTGGAATTGAGAAAGTAATATTATTAAATAATCTTAGTATATTGCCTACACTGCTGGATTCTTTTAAATACTGTGTATTTGGCCAAATTCAATGCTGGTAAAGACAGGGAAAACTGTGTATATTTTATTATTTATGCATTTATATTTTGGTTGCTTCTAGGAACCCCAGTCATGTATGAATATATAACAAATATACTACTGAATGGAGCTATGTAACTATTAAGTATCTTTTTCGGAAATATTGCCTGAAATCTTTATCATTTTCAAAGTCTTACTCCTTTCACATGTGGAAAATAGAATGAAACATTTCAATTCTTTATTGTAGTATAGCTTTTCTACATAATATTGAATGTTATATGTAAGGTTACAACATAGTTTTCATTATAACTCTCAATTTCCCCAATTATGAACTTCTAAGCTCTGTTAATATTACTTCATTTTTCATTCAGTCTCCGTTAGCCTAAGGGTTTTAGGCCCTAATCTCAAAACTGCTTAATAATGTGTATTAATTGCTTATTAATGACATGAATGGTCCTATTGCCATGGAGAGGACTACTTATGCGAGTAAAGTTAATCATGTGCATATTTGTAGGATCTGTCCTTTACTTTGTATTGAGCACTTGTGCCGCTTAAGGACATAAATCACCTTAAATGCTTCTGTTGCTTTTGCGATTTAACGGCATTTAAAATGTCACCATGACCCCTAAAATAGTAATCATCATGAAATGCTTTGAAATTCCTGAAGTAGAATGTTTTGAATGGCATGATCCAATTTTTTTTTCTTCACTGGTTTGCAATAATATTTGAAATGTTTATTTTTTGTCCTGATTCAGGACAAGATACATTCTCAGTTTTAATGAGACTGGAAATATGTTCCCCACTCAGCTCTCATCCTACCAGTCTGATGGTTTGTTGCATCACAGCCGTCAGGCCCAGGAAGGCAGAAAGCAAAATCATCTCTGAAAAGGGAAGAACAACCTGCTTAGTTCTCCTTCCTTTCTCTAGGACGTTAATTTAGACACATTGCAGCAGAAGCATACAGCCATATGCTGTATATGTCTAGGGTTTTTCTCAATCGGCAAGGGAAGGTTTTGACACTGTCTCATTATAAATTTTTCTTTGTCTCTCTGTTACTTCTAAGATCACAGGGAACCAACCAGTTTCCCATGTTTTCCTTACTGTGCATGATCTTATACTAGAGGGGTTTCCTTTTAGACTGTTCTCTAACAGTGGCCCGAGTTGTTCAGAGGAAGATACTAATTTCCCTGTATGATGGAAAAGGAGACATCATTACAGCTCCAATCTCCCTTGTGAGTTTTATTATGGGTGTATAGTTTTCATTTCCAGCTAGAGCTTCATAGGAATCTTTCTGGTGGAGACTGCAGAGAGGAGGCACTGAATTTGCACACTCACTAGCCACTTTTGTAATATTCCCATTCTGGCCACTTACAGGATTGCACTTGTCCACACTGTGTCCCATTGTGCAGGCTGTGTTGAAGATTATTAGCATATTTTTATGCTTGGTTCAGGGGGAGAAGTCTGCCCAGAAGACTTTTTCCTACTGGGACCATGTGCTTGAGTTAAGCAGAAGCCAGTTCAATCCCAGTTTGAACGTAGCCTCTTATGTTTTGCTCACACCAGTGCCCGTTGTGTATGACTGACATCCAGAAGATGGCTGGCTGCATAGGAGGAAAGTAAGATTTAGCACTAGATGTTGACTTGAGATACAATTTTGAGCAAGGGGTGGTGTATAAGCTCCTAGAAGTATCCTTAAGAGAAATCCCTCTCTCAAGTCCTCCCTTGCTTTCTCCTTCCTCCCAGGGACAGTATAAACTTCTATTTCCAGCTCCCAATAGCTTTCCTCATTGTTCTGGCCAGTGAATAAGGGCAGGTGCTAAATCCTTGAACTTGACAGGTCTCTCTCAAGACAGACCCAAGAAAACCAACAATAGAACACCACTTGTCATCACCTACAACCCCCAACTTAAACCTGTCCAACACATTATCAATAAACTACAGCCTATATTGGAACAGGATACCATACTCAAAGAGGCTCTGGGAGACAGACCCATAGTCTCCTATAGACAACCACCTAACCTCAAGATGATTCTTACCAACCACCACAGGACATAGCACACTAATACCAACCCTGGTACCTTCCCTTGCAACAAACCCCGTTGCCAGCTTTGTCCACATATTCATTCTGCTGATACCATTATTGGACCTAACCAAGTGAGTTATAAGATCAAGAACACATATTCCTGCGCATCCAGAAATATAATCTATGCTATCATGTGCCGAAAGTGTCCGTCTGCTATGTACATTGGACAAACATCTCAGACACTTCGCCAAAGGATTAATGCCCACAAAACAGATATCAGACAAGATCACAAAGAGAAAACAGTTTCTTGCCACTTTAACCAGAAAGGACACTCTCTAAATGACTTTCTGTCAGTGGGGTTAGAGCAGATGCCTTTTACATCTGCACTTGAAAGGGAATCCTCTGAACTGTCATTCATGTTAAAATTCGACACTTGCCAACAAGGACTTAACAAGACTTTGAACTTTCTCACCCATTACCAAGACAGTTTCCCCAATTATCACCTGTAATACCATTAACTCACAAACATCCCACTCTCCCTACCTTTAATATCAGCAATTCACAGACACTTACCTTCCTTCCTCCCCCTTCCCACCCCCCCGCATCCCCCTTCTGTTCTGCAATGTGATTTGTCCTTTTCATATTTGTTCATTTTTTTAATTGTATCCTTTGGTATATATGGTTGTGACTACTTTCTTCCACTATTTGATCTGAGGAAGTGGGTCTGGCCCACGAAAGCTCATCACCTATTAAACCATCTTGTTAGTCTTTAAAGTGCTACATTGTCCTGCATTTTGCTTCTCACATATGAGACGTGCTTGAATCCTTACATTCCATTGCTCTTTGATCCTGGGTGCCACTCATTTAAATCTTTAAAAAAACAACAAATGGTCTCCGCTACCCCCTGAAGCATTTAAATCTTTGTGAGGCCCAAGACCCAGTTATCTCTCAGGATCTTTGCTCCCTGTTATTGAACTGAGCACCAGCCTGAAGGCTTTGACTCTCAGTACTATAACACAGGAAGAAATGAACCACATTCTTAGTTGAGTATAACTTCACTGAAGCTAAAGAGTTCTTTTTTTACCATTTATACCAGCCTGGGAACTACTCTGTGAGGTCTGCCTTCATTCCTCTAGGACAAGGTATTGTGTATTTAGACACATATCTGGTGGGACAAAAAACAGGACTATGTAGCACTTTAAAGACTAACAAGATGGTTTAATAGGTGATGAGCTTTCGTGGGCCAGACCTATTAAACCATCTTGTTAGTCTTTAAAGTGCTACACAGTCCTGTTTTTTGTTTCAGCTACACCAGACTAACACGGCTACATGTCTATCACATATCTGGTTAGAGGTATTGGAAATCTAACAGTATAATAGCCTTCTGATATTGGCTCATATGGAAGATAAGGGCTTCTATTTGTGTCTGAACTGTATTAGTCCTCAGAAAATGAGTAGCCCTGTGGCACCTTAGAGACTAGCAAAATCTATATTGTGTTAGTTTTTGTGGGGAAAACCCACTTCTTCTGATGAGCTTGAATGAATTAGCCCTGGGTTTTCTTCAGCTTTAGAACCGAAGTTCTACTCTCAGGTTGCCAGACATAGATATGTACTGTACATGTACAATAAATAACCCTTGTAACTGTCTGTGACATATGACTCCATTATGGGCCAGTTCTTCAGCTGTCAGTGCAACTATCTTGATTTTCACCAACTAAGAATTTGGCCTAAATCTCTAAAACATACGTACAGACACTAAATGGGCTAGTGGTTATCTTAAGGGTAAATAAGCACACATTTTCTTTCCTAGTCATATATTTTATAATGCTGCGTTTGATTCTAAAGTATCGTTACCATACATTTGATACTTTTTAACATTTGCTTCCTATTTCCAAATGCAATATCATGCATGACTACCCCCAATACTTGCGTTTAAATGAATATTCTTAATTAAAATGATTTTTCCTGCATTTAATTTTTCACTAGAGAATGAGAGGTTGTGGTTTTTTGTTTTTGTTTTGTTTTGTTTTGTTTTTGTTTTTGTAAACTTGTAGCTGTATACAAGTATTGCAAGCAAAAATGTGCCTGGTTTCAAGTGACGTACACAGCCAGGGGGTGAGGCTGTGTACATCACCACCCTCCCTTCCCCTCCTGCTGTGGCGCTCAACTAAGTGCTGCGCCCCTCAGCCGTGCTGCCAGGGAAGCCAGCAGCGCAAGGGCCATTTGGGCTCCCCCGCGGTGGGAGGGGAAGGCCCCCTGGCCGTGTACATCACCACCCCGCCCCCCTCCCTTGCGGCAGCCCGGCTGAGCAGGCAGCACTCAGCCGAGTGCCACGGCGGGAGGGAAGGGGAAGGCGAAAGAGAAGGGGAAAGGGATCAGGGACAGACAGAGGGAAGAGAGAGGCAGGAGGAGGAGGAGAAGAGAAAGGGAGAATGAGAAGCAGGAGTGGGAGAAGAGAAAGAAAGAGACGGAGAGAGAGGCAGGAGGCGGAGGAGCGCTGAGAGAGAGGGGAGAGGCAGTAGGAGGAGAGAGAGAGAGAGAT